AGGTAAGTTGCATTTTTATGCTTGTGCGATAATCTCCCAAATAGTAATGTAACAGTATCCCTTTGCTGAATACAGATGATGCAAAACTGCTTGACTCTATTTCTTGCAGATGTAAGTCCCCAAGTGAATTTCATCTATTGTTTGGGGAATTAGGTTGGTAGACTTCATTAGACTGGGTGCCTTTCTCTACTAGTGTCTGCACCAGCCAGGATGCTCTGGGAGCAGCCTTCAGTATCCTGGCTCTGGAGCTGCTCCAACCTCCCTCTATCACCTGGAGCCCTCTGTTCTGATGTGTGGTGACTGTTCACATGCATGTCCTTGCTGTGCAACTATTGGCTTATTTTGCATTGTTATTGGAGGGTATACTCCAGGTTTGGTGCTGAACAGGCTAGACATTGTCCAGGCTATTCACCCAGACTTGTGGATTGGTCCCTATGTTGTCCAGACTTTCTGCTGAGAGGATGGGCAAAGCCATTTTATTTGGCCCACGCAGACAATGCCTCTCTCTCAGATTCAGTATAATAGGAAGCCCGGCTACCTCAGGAGAAGAAGTCTTGAGAATGGAGAAAATCCATCGTATGACTGTGTGATTAAGTAGGTTGATCAAGAGACAGGAGGAAAGGGTGTACGTGGAAAAGGAGGAAGGGAAGGATGGGTCATCAGAGCAGCAGAAGAAATAACAAAGACTGGAAGAGAAGAAAACAATTATTGGAATTGAAGTCTTGGATCTCTGAATGGGAAGCACGTGGGCTGGGATTGTAGGGCAAAGGTTTGTTGGTGACCAAAGCCCTCAAGCAGCCATCAACCTCTCCGAAGATTAGGCCTTTTGAGCATCCTCCTCCACTGCATGGCCTGTCTGGGAGAAAAGTGTTTGGAGCCTCTCTTGGTGTGGAAGCACATTGTGACTCTCTTCAGTGGCATTTCTTCCTCTATTATTTTATACTGGGAATTCATAAGATTAAATGTCGGACTGGCTTCAGTTGTATCTTGTATAGTATTATTCTGAGCTAAAATTATTCCCTTTGTAATTATATTGTTGATCACATTTGCCCTTGGATAATTAATATAAAAGTTTTCTTACCCCCCACCCCCTTTTCCTTCCCCTTTGGCTTCTCCTGCTCTCTGCACTTGTCACCATTCTGCTCCCCCCACTTTCTCTTCCTTTCACTTCTTTTTACCCATTGCCTTTCAGTTATACAATTAATGTACAAAGGGTGCAGAAAATAATTTGCTTGTTAAATATCTGATCATTTTGACTGACAATGCCAAAGACTGAATTTGGGATCTCTGGCTCATCAATGCAAAACACATGCTCTATCACTGATCTTTGTGTGCCACATGTCTAGACTGGGAGAGGAGAGGAGGTATGTAATGATTTAGTTGTGCAGAAAAATAGTCCTACATATATTCAGAGCCAGTGTGGTGCAGTGGTTTGAGTGATGGACTAGGATTCTAGGAGACCAGGGTGCAAATCACTATTTGGTCAAAGAAATCCAATGAGTGACCTTGAACAAGTCACACTCTCTAAGCCTCAGAGGGAAGGTAAAGACAAAGCCTCTTGCCAAGCAAAACCCATGATAGGATCACCTTAGGGTTGCCATAAGTCCACAACAACTTGAAAGTACCAAACAATAATGGTCAACAGCTCCCAAAATATTTCTGTTTCCCCCCCTTCAAATGTATTGTTCCCAATTTGGGATAAAACAAACGAAACCCCTCACAAAAAAAACCTCTTAAAAAGTTGTTTTAAAATGTGATTTAAAGTAGTATATGATTTAATCTGCCAAGCTTATAATAAAACGAAGAAAGTATTGTTAACATGATTATTTCAGAGAAATGTTGTTGTTAACTAACTTCAAGTCAATGTCAACTCATGGTGGCCATATGAATGAGACATCTTGAAGACCCTCTGTCCTCCATTGCTCTGTATAATTCCTGCAAACCCTTAATACCCGTGACCTCCTTAATAGAGTCCATCCATCTGGCATGTGGCCTTCCTCTCTTCCTACTTCCTCCACCTTTCCCAGCATTATTGTTTTTTCCAAAGAGTACTCTCTTCTCATGATGTGTCCAAAGTATGACAGTCTCAGTTTGGTCATCTTGGCTTCCAAGGAGGTTTCCGGCTTGATCTGCTCGGACCCACTTGTTTGTCCTTTTGGCTGTCCATGGGATCCTCAGCACTCTTCTTCAGTACCACATCTCAAATGCATTGATTTTCTTCCTATCATCTTTTTTAACTGTCCAGCTCTCAACTCTATACATGGTAATAGGGAATACAATGGCTTGTATGATTCTAACTTTTGTGCTGAGTTGTATATCTATGCATTTTATAATTTTTTTTTAGTTCTTTCATAGCCACCTTCCTCATTCTTAGTCTTCTTCTGATTTCCTGACTACAGTCTCCATTTTTATCAATGTTTGATCCCAGGTATGGGAATTCTTTTACTATTTCTATTTCTTCATTGTCTAGTTTGAATGTGGTTAAGTTCTCTGTGGTCATTATTTTTGTTTTCTTTATGGTCAACATTAAGCCTGCCTTTGCACTTCCTTCGTTGATCTTCCTTAGTAGGTGTTCCAGGTCTGTGAGGTTTTCTGCTAGTACTATGTTGTCATCTGCATATCTTAGATTGTAGATTTTCCTTCCTCCTATTTTCACTTCTCCTTCTTCTGTGTCCAAGCCTTCTTTTCTTATAATATGTTCTGCATACAAGTTGAGCAGATAGAGTGAAAGGATGGAGCTTTGTCTGACCACATTGCCAATTGGGAACCATTCTGTTTCTCCATGTTCTGTTCTGACAGTAGCCTCTTGTCATGAGTACAGATTCCTCATCAGGACTATCAGATGTGTTAGCACTCCCATGTCTTTAAGGGCATTCCATAGCCTTTCATGATCTATGCAGTCAAAGGCTTTGCTCTAGTCTATAAAGCACATGCTGATTTTCTTTTGGAATTCCCTGGTGCACTCCATTAGCCATCTATGTTTGCAATGTGGTCCCTCTTGCCTCTTCCTTTTTTGAACTCCACTTGGATTTCTGGGATTTCTCTCTCCATGTATGGTTGGAGTCTATGTTGCAGAATTTTGAACATGGGAGATCAGAGCTATGGTTCTATAGTTGCTACAGTCTCTTGAGTCTCCCTTTTTGTGGATGGGGATGTATATTGATCACTTCCAATCTGTTGGCCATTGTTTTGTTTTCCATATCTATTCACATATGTTGGTTAGCACTAGAGTTGACTCTGTCAGTGTGGATTGCAAAGTTCACTTGGAATATCATCTGTTCCTGGTGATTTGTTTTTCGCTATTTCTCTTATTGCAGTTTCCACCTCACTTTTTAGAATTTGGGGTTCATCTTCATATGGCTCTTTAGAGAAATACAGGTATGATATAGACAACAATATTTGTTACTGAGGAAATGTTTGCTAATAAAAGAGATTGGAAGCATAGAGTTATACTCTACAAAGCCCAGCATAAGAATAGATAACAAGAGAGAAACACGTTGTCCTAGTTGAAATCCTGGTCAGAAACCCATAACATATAATACAACATATCACCGTTTTTTAAACAATAAATGTTATGTCATAACATAATTGTTTAATCTTTAAGAAACTACAGAATGTCCCAAGCTTTAATGATAGACAATGAGCACATTTTAATTGCATAACGCATTGTCACAGATGAATAAGCATATATGTGAAATGTAATTATTACATACACAAAGAGAAAATAAAAATGAGAATGTAAGCATTTTGAGGGTCAGAATTAGGTAAAAAAACCTTAAGCATGCAACTAACCAACTAATAAGCCAATGAACCAATCCACCCCAAAACAGATTATAGCCTGCTTCTAGAAAAGTCAAGGCTCTTGGTATTAGCAATAAAAATTCTATGGTGAAATTTTCTGACAGTCATGACAAATGATTTTATGATTGTGTTGTAAGAAGCCACTTAAAATTTGATGTTAGGAACAGGAAGATGTGAATTCTGCTGCAAGCTATATTTCCAAGGAGACAATACAGTTTGGATAACTTGAACGTGAGGCAAATATAGTTTGGATGTGATGCAAATTTAATCCAATGCTTGCCCAGTAGATTCACCAGTCTCTATGTTGTTGTTGTTGCTATGGTGGCATCCCATTTAGCTTTTGGTTCCAAGTCACTTAGGCCTCAGACACACAGGCCAGAATATTTTGGGAGCAGCCCAGAGTATTCTGCCCCTGAAGCTGCCTCAAATTTCCTCCAGTATGTGATGCCAGGAGGCTGTTCACATGTGTGTCCCACTGTGCTATCAACTGCTGCTATGAGTCACTCCCTCTGAGGCTGAAAACAAGTCACCCAGTGTCGATCATATGCCAGAGTGCCCCGATATAACATCAGAGGGACCAACTCATGCCAGCAGCAGCAGTGGAGGATAACACAGGGGGATGTGTGTGTGAACAGCCACCGCCACTCCAGAGTGCTCTGGAAAATCTGGAACAAAAGGCAAGTTAGAATCAGTTTTAAAGGTGGTATAATGCAGGTTCAGTGCAGAACTGGCCATACGTTGTCAGGATAGTTTGCTCAGGTTCGAGGATTAAATAGTTAAATAATAAAATAAATAAAATAAGATAAAAATTAAATAATAAAATAAAAATAATGACTAGAATTCGGTTGGGGAGTTATGAATGTGTAACCATCATAGTTACACGGTTTTGTAGTGACTCCTGGCCCAAACCCTCAACCCTACTTACCAGGAAGCAGAGGATCTATTATTCTGTCACTTGGGAAGCAGCCAACTGATGTTCCCACCTCCTTCCATGAATGATTCCCATTGCAACAGGTAGAAGCTTTCACAATTCCTTCTCACACCAGAGATCACTCACGCAAAGGGGGATGGGAATGTCAGTCAGCTGCTTCCCAAGCAGAATGCACCCCCATCTACTGCAATGGCTGTTATCCGGTAAGTAGAGATTGGGAAACTTTTACAGTTCCTACGTGTCCCTAGATCATGAATATCAATGAGTTATGAATGTGGTGTAGTGGTTTGCGTGTTGGACTATGACTCTGGAGACCAGGGTTCAAATCCCCACTCAAGCATAAACACCTGCTGGGTGATCTTGGACACATCACACTCTCTCAGCTTGAGTGGACAGCAATGGCAAACCACCTCTGAAGACACTTGGTATAAAAACATTATGATAGGTTTGCCTTTAGAGTCGCCTTAAGTCAAAAATGACTTGGAAGCACACAACAATGGCAACACTAGGCTATGCATCCGTAACTTCCCAACAGGATTCTGTCCAGTATACTAATATAACAAACAGCAGCAGCAACAAAACCCAGTCTCCATGCATCAGGAACTACCAACAAGTAGGAACAAGATCCCAGTTATTACAGTCAGGTATCAAAAGCAGTGACTGCTACATAATACCAAAGGCCTCAAAAACAAACACATTTAGAGCAGCTGGTGGAAAGTGGACAGTCTTGAAGCCAGGCAGTTCTCTCAGAGGAAACCTTCCATAATAGAGATATGGCATGGGAAAAGCCTGATTCTCATCTCACCAAGCCTTCATCAAGGGGAGGAACACAGAGAAAGGATTGAGAGGTTGAACTTGAATATATACTTCAAATCTATTGGATTTGTAGATATCCTCGCATGTATTTTACCAAATCCCTATAAGATGAATGCAAATCAAGAACTTCGGAAATTTACTTTTTTGGATCTACCAATTCCCTGTTACCTTGCTGGCTGGGAGATTCTTTGCTGTAGTGCAAAAGAGAGAGCAATTTCCTCCTAAGCTCTGCAATTCATATGCATGGGTTATATTTCTACCTTGATTATCTATTTATCATGTAATCTAAGGCATACCTACTCTGAAATAAATTTCATAGGGGTCAATGGGATTTCTAAGTGAGGAGGTTTAGTTTTGGAGCCTGGTTGTTTGAAAAGGGGAGAAGGGGGCTGCTCCATAGTATCTTGGTAGGATGGAAAGGCAAGTATTACAGGTTAGCTGAAAAAGGGTGCAGAAAGCAGAAACACTATTAAAGGGGTTTCTTTTTTATAATAGTCAAATTATGTGATATTGATGGAATGACATTGATGGAATGGCAAACTATATAACAATTTCATATGAGATGTTTTATGCCAGATATTATCCTGCAACCACAATGACCTATTTGAGCTCAGGGGAGCCTTTTAGAGCTTCCTGGCTTGTCACTAAGATGAGATTATCTGTTCATTGAACTGACATGCCATAAAAAAAGAAAAGAAAAGAAATAAAACTACAGTTGTGTTCAGTGATGAATAAACCTCACATCTTCTAACTGCACATACAAGGCAATAACCATGAACCAGGCAACATATGTTGTGCATTCTATTGCATAAAACAATTAATTTTGACCAGAAGGAAGAAGCTTCAAATAATTGCCTTGCCCTTTAGGTTTCATTTCAACTACTTTAGCCCCTTGACAGAAAGAACCCCAGTGGAAAACAGCTTCCACTTGTCTATCCACATCTCATTATATTTAACTGGAGATTGCTGGGCTCAAGTTATAAATTAATAATGTACATTAGTTGGTTTAGCACCACTTCTCTTGTTAGTTTGTGAGTTCCTTTTAGCGGTGGGAGGGATGGGGGGACCAGAGAGGTCAAGACACTCCAGAATTGTGGGAAACGCCTAAATCCTACTAATAGGACCTTATCACACGGGGGTCTGAAGCAGTCCCATCCCCGTGGCATCCCCGTCCCATGGCGCTTCCTTTCCCTGGGTGATCAAACGACGTTGCAGGGAAACCCTACCCATCCCCGTCACATCCTGGTCGCATCCCAGTCCCATTGCGCTTCCTTTCCCCGGGTGATCAAACGACGTCGCAGGGAAACCCCGCCCATCCCCGTTGCATCCCGGTTGCATCCCAGTCCCATCGCACTTCCTTTCCCTGGGTGATCAAACGACATCGCAGGGAAACCCCGCCCATCCCTGTCGCATCCCCGTCGCATCCCCGTATCATCCCCGTTCTTTTGGATTCCTGGTCAAAATGGGAATTACATTTCCCGCGACCGGAAGGAAGCGCAATGGGACGGGGATGCGACTGCTTGGACCCCGTGTGATAAGGTCCTTAGTCTCAAATAAGGTAAGCCTATTGAATTGATAGTCAAATGGTGAATCAACACTTCTGAATACCATTGCTTCAGTGAACCTACTGTAGTTGGGACTACCAATATAATAATGGTCAAAGTAGCTAACTAAAAGTAGTATAGATGCATGTTTTGGATGTTTTGCATGTTTTGTCTGCAGAGTATATCTGAGGAAGTAGGATCAAGTCTACGAAAACTCATGCTATCCACTCCTTTCTTTTAGTTTCAAAAGTGCTACAAGATCCTTTGCATACTGATTTTCCAGACTAACATGGCTATATCTTTGAATTCTAGGTATACAATTATTATGCATCATTTTAAATCAGGGGTAGGCAAACTTTCCCCTTTAAGGGCCAAGGGACTTCAGCTCCCAGAAGCCTCAGCCATGTTGGCCAATAGTCCCATGTTGGCCAATAGCTCCTGGGATTCTGGGAGCTGAAGTTCCTTGGCCCTTAAAGGGGAAAGGTTGCCTACCCCTGTTTTAAATTAATAAAGAGCAATTCCAGCCTGCATTGAAACCAATTAAATATAGTTGGGGTTTCTATAATGGGACTGCCAATCTCATAGCTTCCAACATTTCACAGATGAAAACTTGGATATGTGTGGCCAAGCAACATCAGAGTGTGGTCAATATGGGAAAAGGTTATTAATGAGGAAGAACACACAAGCTAGGAAAGGTTGAGCAGTTTGCTTTTGACTGAGCCTACTGGGAGAAGCACGGTTCTGTTGCCTCCTCTCCTCTCCCTCCACTGAGTTAAGTGACTGCAAACTACTTTTGCACTTTGAGCTCAGTTTGCAGCAACTGAAGAGGCAGACTATGCAGAAATAGTGCAAATTGAGTCCACTTTAACTGCCCTGGCTCAGTGCTAGGGAATCATGGGAATTGTATTTTTTTCTGAGACATTGAGACTTCTCTGTCAGAGAGCTCTGGTGCCAGAATAAACTACAGTTCCCATGATTCCCTAGCACTGAGTCAGAGCAGTTTAAGTGGACTCAATCTGCACTATTTCTGGCAGTCTGCAAAGGCCCTAAGTTGAGGACAAAGGGAGAAAGGAGGAAGAGGAAAAAGAAACTTGGACATTTTAAAAGCCACTGAAAAAGCTAGACAAAGGATTAATGAATGTCCTTGCCAAATTGTGGCAGTTGAAGGGTATCAACTAGAATGAAGCAGGATTGCAGGAAGAGTCCATCCTTCTGGCTGAAAAACAAAACATGTGGCTGTGCAGACTGGCAGAAAGCTGGCCTGGGGGCAGAGTGGGGGTGTGGCGACCGCACACCAGCCGCTCTGACTCTGCCCCCAAGCCAGCTTCACACCATGCACCCTAACACATGACGGGAGGTGTCACGGCACTTCTTTAGCACAGTGTCTACACACGCTGTGCCAAAGGAGTGAGAAAAGCCACCACAGTAGTGGCAAGGGTGCCATTTCTGCAGTGCTAAAAAGAGATGCTTTTTGTGGCTTTTTTTTTTTTTTTTTGCACTGTGGAACTGCCAGGTTGGGGATGTGGCGTGTGGTTGCTGCATCCCCAACCCAGCATTTCCAGAGGTGGCACAAAGCCACCTATTAGGAGCAGTCTGTCGAGCCCTAATCTCACTGCAAATTCCTTGCTTCCAGCCTTTCAGTCAATTCCTTTTTGAAGTTTGTTATTCCATTCAGAATGAAGACATAGGAAATGATTAAAAAACAACATTTATATAATTTACAGTGTGATCGTAACATTTGCTATGTCAGCACATTCCTTGAAAGAGTGTTTGTGAATAAATGACATGCCACAAACTCTGGCATTACATCAATGTTACAGTGATTTTACATGGATATAAATAGTGACATTCATAAATCTTTTCCTTCAATTTATTTTTGCATATAAAGGCGTACTCACAATCTCCATCATAAGAAGAAACCTACTTCTGTGAGCATGTGGCACATAGGACCTTATCACACGCAGCCCACAAAGCGATAACAAAGTGAA